GGACGGTGGGAGCATCCCTTGTGGACACTCCTTCTTGCAGGGACTATGGGAGGGAGGCATTTACTCCTTCCACAACCACCGCGGCCACCTTAGCTGCCTCATGGCGCTATAAAGCGTCCAGGGGCTCAGAGGGAGGGATGGCTCTGACACCCACCCCTAAAGGCATGAGGAGGGTATCTTCCCCTTCAGTAGGTGGGGTGGAACGTTGGGCTCATTTGCAGCACCTCCCCATGGCAACGTCCCAGCCCTCAGAAGAGGAGAATTGGGCCTGATTAGGGGAAGAGCCAGGGGGCAAGGGCAGTGGTGCGAGGGCGAGGGAAGATGGGGTCTGGGCAGCTGGGGAAACCTCCACCTGAGTCCCGTCTCTGACCCTGTCACCCTCTGCTCTGCAGGCCTGGCCTTGCCACTTCTGGTGGTGGCAGTGGCACCCACATGCTCGTCTGGGCCCTGCGGAGCCCGAGCGGGATTGATGACAGTCATGGTTGGAGGAGGGGCGACCCCAGGGTCTAGACCGTCAGGGCCACCGGCGATGGTAGGGCCGGTGCCCTCCTGGGCGTCGGGGGTCCCGAGTGCATCTCCGAGCCGGGCCAGAGGGCAGTCCCTTCGGATGTGCCCTGTCGCCTGATAGAGAAAACACCGGGCCTCCACCAAGGTGTAATATACCCAGTACTGGGCCCCTTGATAGGGCACCAGAAATGACCCTTCTAGGGCTCCTCCACCACGCCTCACCGGCAGAGGTTGGATTTGCACCTGCCGGCGAAAGGAAAGAATGTGGCAGAAGGTAGGGTCCTTGCAGCCCAAAGGAAGGGGACTACGGACTGACAAGGGCCTCCCCAGGGTGGAGAGGAAAGGTAATAGGATGGCATTGGGGAGGAAGGGTGGAACAGGGGGAAAAAAACACCCATATGCCCAGGTCCTCCAAAGGCTCGAGTGGGACATGGACTCCCTCCAATGCCAAACCCTTCTCCACTGCTTCCTGGGCGGCAGCCTCCAACACCAGGAAGAATACCACCTTCCCAAACATCTTGGAGGCCACCACCACAGCCGCGGGCCCCACCATGCATGCCAACGCCTGCACGTAGGTCTCCACGTGGGGCGAGGCCAATACCAGGAGGCATCAGACCCCGTGCCTCCTGGTCAGGGTTGGAAAGGGGCTGTGGCCGCCGGGGATGGAATTCCGGTAAGCGGCCTCAGTGGATTGGGAGGCAGCAGGCGGGGGAGGAATGGGGCGAGGCCAACACCAGGAGACAACGGACCCCGTGCATCCTGTTCAGGGTGGGGAAGAGGCCGCAGCTGCCGGGGATGGAATTCCAGAAGGTGGCTTTGGTGGACCAGGAGGCAGTAGGTGGGGGGGAGGGGGTGGCAGCTACCTGGGTGTACGCCCTGGGGTCTGGGACACCATTGTCCCCAGAGCTGGTGGAAGGAACAGGGGGACAGGAAAGAGGAGAAGCCATGGCCGAGGCTGTGGCAGGGGGGTTAGCCTTCACCACAGGAGGTTTTGCCTTCCAGGCGGGGCTCTTTCACTTCTTGGTCCCCCAGCCCTTCCTGCCCTTCAGGGAGGCTTTCTCGGTGGTGACACTGGTGGCAGAAGGTGCCACGGCAGGAGCAGCTGGGGTTCTGGAATCCCCACCCATGTCCACCACCTCTGCTGCATGAGTGGGTGGCCCGGCAGCCTCAGAGGGTTCAGTGTTCATAGAGGCAGTGAGGGGCGGTGGGCATGGGCATCGCACGACTGCCCCTCCATTATGTTCATGGATGGAGGGGCGGGGGGGAGACAGGAACAGACAATTAGGGGAGACCAATAGTGCCAGGGGGTGGAGCCAGGAGCAGGGGAGAGGGGGAAGAGGGAGGGAGAGAAAGGCTCACTACTCCCCCTGCTAGGCTGGAAGCAGGGTAAGAGGGCAGCAACGCACATAAGAGGAAGGGGGGGGAGTAAAGGAACAAGGGGTACAGCTCCCAGCACAGGACAGTAAGAGCGGCTCCTCCAGCTGCACTGGGAATGTGAGAGGGTCAATTATTTAAAGGCATGTGGGAAGTGAAACGGTGCGTGGGGGGAGGGTAACTAAAGGAGAGTGGGAGGCTCAGGCGCCAAACGAGATGACAAAGGGGGATATGGGCACACGAAAAGAGGAGAGGGGAATGCAGGCTGTGAGGAGGCTCACATCACCAGCTGCAGGACCCAACAGAGCAAGGGAGGGGCAGGGAGGCAAGCAGTGGGGCCAAGGATGGAGATGGCCCCTGCAGCACCTGAGGCTGGGGAGGGACCAGCAACAGCAGAGATGCAGGGGAGACAGTGGGGGGCAGAGGGAGCCACCCTGCAGCCCCAGCACCCCAAGAAAGTTGTACCAGCTGCCACCTAGGGGCCCAGATGGCAGACGGCCCCTCACAAACACTCTCACCCTCCCCCCACAAACTTGTGGGGGGGAAGGAGAAACCCCGGGAGCTGCTGTAAAGCAGCCCCCTTACTTCCTTTACTCCAGAGGGCATAGTAGTTGCAGGAAGGATGAAGTCCAGGCCTGCAGAAGTGAAGAAAGGGGCCAAGCAGTCCCCAAAAAGATGGAAAATGGGGGTCCCGCTCCCCGCACCAGGGTAAGGGCAGCAAAGGCCCCCCTATCCACCCCCACAACTCCAGCAGCTCCTGCAGCCAGCTGGGGGGTGGGGAAAGGCTGCCTGCAAACAGAGCAGGCAGAGAGAAAAGGGGACCTGGCCCAGAATGTAGCCAGGGCCTGCCTGCCACAACCCCAGTAGCCCCCCCCCTACACACACACCCCTCCCAAAAAGGGGAGAGGAGGGGTGCAGGGGAGAAAAAAGCACAACAAGCCCAGACCAGCAGCATAGTTCGAAATAACACTGTAGTGTAGACATACCCTGAGTAACTGCAATGATCATAATGGAACTACTCACACTGGGTAAACTCAAGCATGTAAACAAGACTTTGCAGGATCATGGCCTAAATTATTAACATTCTCAGCTGCTATTTAGAAATGACTACTTACAGAACGTATCTAGACCATTATCTACACACTGCCTCTAGCTACACTGTATTGGAGTGTAAGTGGGGATAATCAGGCAGAAACAAGATGTGCAAGTTAGTATGACCCCAACCCAAATCACTAAAGTTAACAGGACTCTTTCAACTGATTTCAAGGGATCGGATGTTGTAAGCATAACTCAATCACTTAAGGGCTACGTCTACACTGGCATAATTTTCCGGAAATGCTTTTAACGGAAAAGTTTTCAGTTAAAAGCATTTTCGGAAAAGTGTGTCTAGATTGGAATGGACGCTTTTCTGCAAAAGCACTTTTTGTGGAAAAGCATCCGTACCAATCTAGACACGGTTTTGCGCAAAAAAGCCCCGATGGCTAAAATGGCGATCGGAGCTTTTTTGCGCAAAACAGTACTGTGCTGTCTACACTGGCCCTCTTGCGCAAATGATTTGAGCAAGAGGGCTTTTGCCCGAACGGGAGCAGCACAGTATTTCCGCAAGAACACTGATGATCTTACATGAGATCATCAGTGTTCTTGCGGAAATTCAAGCGGCCAGTGTAGACAGTTGGCAAGTGTGTCTATCTTGCCAGTCTAGACACAGTCAAAGTGTGTCCACTCAACAGCATTATGTTGTCTACACAGTAATTCTGTTATTTTGAAATAAATTCAAAATAACGGATGGCTTATTCCAACTTCTGTGAACCTCATTCCAGAGGAATAACGCCTATTCTGAAATAGCTATTTTGAAATAGCTGTAGTGTGGACGCTCCACTGCTGCTATTTCAAAATAGCACCTACCCAGGGCCATTCAAAGTAATTACTCCCTAGTACTTCATGGGGCTCTAAATAGGGGAAGCGCGTCCACATTAGTGGAGCCTGCCTCAGAAGTGTAGATAAACTATTTTGAAATAAGCTATTTTGGAGTATTTCTTCTGGAATAGCTTATTTTGAAATACGTGTGCAGTGTAGATGTACCATTATTTTTTGTTGTAGCCATTATTTTTCAATACTCCCTCATATTTTCATTCTTTGCTGCTATAGTTTGAAATATTCCTTGGGCAGGGAATCTGTAGCTTTATTACTTCTTTTCAGTAAAAATTGCAAATGGGCACTCTTGTGGAGTTACACAGTCTATTCAAATCCTGTAGAATTCCTATTTCTAGAGGCCATGGGAATTAGAACTAGAAATGAGTATCAACTTTCAATCCAGATAAGAAAATATAAAGATCTAGTTCTTTCTCACTTACATTAAACTATTCCAGGAAATTCACAGTGCACTGTGTAAACGATGAATCAGTGACTATATACATTCACAGGACCAAATAGTGCCTTCAGTGATGAGTGATATACCATTCAAAGTGAGGAACACAGCATGCACATTGAGCACAGAATTTAGCTCCCTATTATCAAATCTTAGGATGTAAAAACATGATGATTAAACAATTAATATTTTTCAGAGGTAAAAAATATATTCATAAATATCACAGTGATAATGAGAAGTGTAAGGAAACAAAGGTTTCAAGATTAAAGAGGTTTTATCACAATTTAGAAAGCATGTTGACTTCTGTGTTGAGGTGGTAATACATTTATAGTATTTTTTAAATTGGTTTGGAAAGGAAAGAGGAAGAAGCTAAATTGCAACTTATCTGAAATTTGGAAATGTCTCATCAGATGTTGAGTTTTTAAAAGAAATAACTCAAAAGTATAATAGTATTTAGCATTTTATCACATTTTATGTACTCAAAGCACTGTACAGACATTGATGAAATAGACCTCACAATGCTGCTATGAGGTAGGTGTGGAAATTTATTATTCCCATTTTACAAGTGGGAAAACAGATAAGTGAAGAGATTTGCTCAGGGCCATACACTAACTTGTTGACAGACTCAGAATTAGTACTATGGATTTTCTGACTCCCAATAATGAACTCATTTCTCCAGATCACACAAACAAGTAAATGTTAATAGTTTAAAATTTTGTTTTCTAAGTTTCATCTATAGAAATTGACTCACCCTGGTAAGCAGTCCCCACACACTGCATTGCTGGTGGTAGAACAGTTGGATTTCTGAAACCGGTTGACTACTGCACAGTCCAGACAAGGTTTGCACTTCTGAAATCCCCAGTCCTCCTTGAATCTGTTTAGCCTGCATGTCATGCACTGTGCATCCTCCCTAACAAACAAAAGAAAGCTAATCAAATACTGAATGTGTGAAAAAGGAGAAACTGCTGGGATAAAGCAAAGACATAGTGTAATTATTACTGAGAGCTGGTCTTTCAAGAGACAAAAGCCATCTTTTCAGCAAGTTCAAATGTGTCTTCCACTGCTAATAATCTCCCTTACTTCTATAAGTAACACTGAATCATCCATTTCATTCAAGCAACGACTGAGCATTTCAATGATAAAGGACTTCAGGGATTCCAACTGCTTCATAACTAGCAGCTTACGGTAGAATTTTGTTTTTTGTCTGTTTTTTAATTAAGCTACTCGTGTGAATGTGCAGAACCTGGGATGAATGCAGTATTTGGGCAATTACTCATTTACAAAAAGAGCAAAGGGATACTTTGATATTAAGGTGCATAGTGAAGGTGAACAAAGTTAATTGCTGAAGAGAGTACAAATCTTCAAAGACTGAAAAGCTCTGTTGGAAAATATAACAGCTCTCATTAATGGACACAAAGAACAAGATCTTGAAATGTCCATTACCCACTAAGAATTTTACTAAGTTAACTATGTCTATTTAACCAAAACTTTCTAACATAATTTTTAGAGTGTAAGACCTTTGAGCATCAGGAGAAGTTGATGACATTTATTAAATATGAATACTGCAAGAACTGGTCACTTACCTCAAAAACTAATTCGTGCAAAAAATAGTTTTTCATTTCCACATTTTGAGGAATATTTTTGAAAAAATAGGAATTCAAACATAAAGATGATGTGGAAATCTAAGTGTAGTGGGGTGGAGTGGCTGCCTACTGACCCGGAGGTGGAGGAACCCCTCCGGGCAGCTGAACCGGCTACACTATGATATTGCAGAAGTAACAGAGGTCTGAAGAATTTTGGAATAATGTCCGTATGAGAAGAGATTTAAAAGATTAGTATTACTTAAATGGGAAGAGGAGATGAACATGAGGCATAAAATGAGAAGTAAAGAGAAGATCACTCAGATATATCCATTTTCCTTCTCTTATGCTACATGAAAAAAACAGACACCAAGTAAAATTGAAGGGCAACAAATGTAAACCAATAATCTATGAAACTGACTCTTACAAGATATTATCAAGGTAGAGAACTTATTCACATTTTTAAAAATATTTGACGTTTATTTAAAAATAACATTTCAGATGAGCTACGATAAAAAGGTATGACATAATAAACTTCTTCCTTTAAGGTATGAAGCATTTAATTTCAGAAAGGGGAACTACACAAAAATGAGGAGGTTAAACAGAAATGAAAAGGTACAGTGAGAAAAGTAAAATCCCTATAAGCTGCATGGAAACTTTTCAAAGACAGCATAATATAGGCCCATCTTAGATGAATACTCCAAATTAAAATATACAGTAAGAGAACCAAAGAAGTGCCACTGTGGCTTAAGAACCAAGTAAAAGAAGCAGTGGAAGATAAAGAGGCATAATTGAAAAAGTGGAAGTTAAATCCCAGTGAGGAAAATAGAAAGGAACATAAACTCTGTCAAATTAAGTGTAAAAATATAATAAGAAAAGCCAAAAAGGACTTTGAAGAACAGCTAGCCAAAAACTCAAAAAATATTTTGCTGTTACTTTGTAAGCACATCAGAAGCAGGAAGCCTGCTAAACAACCAGTGGGGCCACTGGACAAACAAGATGCTAAAGCAGCACTCAAAGACAATAAGGTCATTGTGGAGAAACTAAATTAATTCTTTGCTTCAGTCTTCACAGCTGAGGATGTTAGGGAGATTCCCAAATCTGAGCCATTCTTTTTAGGTGACAAATCTGAGGAATTGTCCCAGATTGAGGTGTCATTAGAGAAAGTTCTGGAACAAACTGAAACTTAACAGTAACAAGTTACTGGCACCAGATGGCATTCACCCAAGAGTTCTGAAAGAACTCAAATGTGAAATTGCGGAACTATTAACTGTACTTTATAACCTATCCTTTAAATCAGCTTCAGCACCTAATGACTGGAAGATAGCTAATGTGACTCCAATATTTAAAAAGGGGTCTAGAGGTGAGCCTGGCAATTACAGACCAATATGTCTTATGTCAATATCAAGCAAATTAGTTGAAACTATAGTAAAGAATAAAATTTTCAGACACATAAATGAACATAATTTGTTGGAGGAAAGTCAACATGATTTCTGTAAAGGGAAATTGTGTCTTACTAATCTACTAGAGTTCTTTAACGGGGTCAACAAGCACGTGGACAAGGTGGATCCAGTGGATATAGTGTACTTTGACAAGGTCCTTCATCAAAGGCTCTTAAGTAAATTGTCATGGGATAAGAGGGAAGGTACTCTCGTGGAGTAATTGGTTAAAAGACAGGAAACAAAGGGTAGGAATAAATGGTCAGTTTTCAGAATGGGGAGAGGTAAAACTAGTGGTGTTCCCCAAGGGTCTGTACAGAGACCAATCCTATTCAACCTATTCATAAATGATCTAGAGAAAGGGGCAAACAGTGAGTTGGCAAAATTTGCAGACGATACTAAATTGCTCAAGATAGTTAAGACCAAAGAAGACTATGAAGAGCTTCAAAAAGATCTCACCAAACTAAGTCACTTGGCAACAAAATGGCAAATGAAATTTCATGTTGATAAATGTAAAGTAATGCACATTGGAAAAAATAATCCCAGCTATACATACAAAATGATGGGGACTAAATTAGCTATAACCACTCAAGACAGAGATCTTGGAGTCTTTGTGGATAGTTCTCTGAAAATATCCACTCAATGTGCAGCAGCAGTCCAAAAAGCAAACAGAATGCTAGGAATCATTAAAAAAGGGATAGAGAATAAATATATAAATAAATTCATGGTACTCCAAGATCTTGAATAGTACATGCAGATGTGGTTGCCGATCTCAAAAAAGATATGTTGGCATTGGAAAAGGTTCAGAAGAGGGCAACTAAAATAATTAGGGGTTTGGAATAGGTGCCATACAAAGAGGCTACGTCTACACTGGCCCCTCTTCCGGAAGGGGCATGTAAATTTCACGAGTCGTCGTAGGGAAATCCGCGGGGGATTTAAATATCCCCCGCGGCATTTAAATAAAAATGTCCGCCGCTTTTTTCCGGCTTTTAAAAAAGCCGGAAAAGAGCGTCTAGACTGGCCCCGATCCTCCGGAAAAAGTGCCCTTTTCCGGAGGGTCTTATTCCTACTTCGACTAGTGAAATTTACATGCCCCTTCCGGAATACTTCAAAGTAGGAATAAGAGCCTCCGGAAAAGGGCGCTTTTTCCGGAGGATCGGGGCCAGTCTAGACGCTCTTTTCCGGCTTTTTTAAAAGCCGGAAAAAAGCGGCGGACATTTTTATTTAAATGCCGCGGGGGATATTTAAATCCCCCGCGGATTTCCCTACGACGACTCGTGAAATTTACATGCCCCTTCCGGAAGAGGGGCCAGTGTAGACGTAGCCAGAGAGATAAAAAGACTAGGAGTTTTCATCTTAGAAAAGAGGAGACTAAGGGGGGATATTACAGAGGTCTATAAAATCATGACTGATATGGAAAAAGTGAATAAAGAAAAATTATTTACTTGTTACCATAAAACAAGAACTAGGGGTCACCAAATGAAATTAACAGGTAGCTGGTTTAAAACAAACCAATGGAAGTTTTTATTCATGCAGCGCACAGTCTACATCAAACCAATGGAAGTTTTTATTCATGCAGCGCACAGTCAACACGTGAAACTCCTTACTAGAGGATGTTGTGAAGACCAGGACTTCAACAGGATTCAAAAAAGAACTAGTTCCATTCATGGAGGCTAGGTCCATCAATGGCTATTAGCCAGGATGGGTAGGAATGGTGTCCCTAACC